ACATTTGTGAAGCGTTTTATTTATAACGGCAGATTAATGCCAGATGTGATGTGACCCAAAGGTGGCTCTTATGCAGCAGCTCCAGTCCTGACTAGAACCAGGAAGTACGACCATATTAGTCCTGACTAGAACCAGGAAGTACGACCACATTAGTCCTGACTAGAACCAGGAAGTACGACCACATTAGTCCTGACTAGAACCAGGAAGTACGACCATATTAGTCCTGACTAGAACCAGGAAGTACGACCACATTAGTCCTGACTAGAACCAGGAAGTACGACCATATTAGTCCTGACTAGAACCAGGAAGTACGACCACATTAGTCCTGACTAGGAACCAGGAAGTACGACCACATTAGTCCTGACTAGAACCAGGAAGTACGACCACATTAGTCCTGACTAGAACCAGGAAGTACGACCACATTAGTCCTGACTAGAACCAGGAAGTACGACCACATTAGTCCTGACTAGAACCAGGAAGTACGACCACATTAGTCCTGACTAGAACCAGGAAGTACGACCACATTAGTCCTGACTAGAACCAGGAAGTACGACCACATTAGTCCTGACTAGAACCAGGAAGTACGACCACATTAGTCCTGACTAGAACCAGGAAGTACGACCACATTAGTCCTGACTAGAACCAGGAAGTACGACCACATTAGTCCTGACTAGAACCAGGAAGTACGACCACATTAGTCCTGACTAGAACCAGGAAGTACGACCACATTAGTCCTGACTAGAACCAGGAAGTACGACCACATTAGTCCTGACTAGAACCAGGAAGTACGACCACATTAGTCCTGACTAGAACCAGGAAGTACGACCACATTAGTCCAGTCCTCAGGTCTCTGCACTGGCTTCCTGTGGCTCAGAGAATAGACTTTAAAACAGCTCTGCTTGTTACAAGTCTCTCCATGGCCTCGCACCAAAATATATTAGTGACATGTTAGTCCCATATGAACCAGCCCGGACTCTGAGGAGCACAGGGACTGGACTCCTGCTGGGACTCTGAGGAGCACAGGGACTGGACTCCTGCTGGGACTCTGAGGAGCACAGGGACTGGACTCCTGCTGGGACTCTGAGGAGCACAGGGACTGGCCTCCTGCTGGGACTCTGAGGAGCACAGGGACTGGACTCCTGCTGGGACTCTGAGGAGCACAGGGACTGGACTCCTGCTGGGACTCTGAGGAGCACAGGGACTGGCCTCCTGCTGGGACTCTGAGGAGCACAGGGACTGGCCTCCTGCTGGGACTCTGAGGAGCACAGGGACTGGACTCCTGCTGGGACTCTGAGGAGCACAGGGACTGGCCTCCTGCTGGGACTCTGAGGAGCACAGGGACTGGACTCCTGCTGGGACTCTGAGGAGCACAGGGACTGGACTCCTGCTGGGACTCTGAGGAGCACAGGGACTGGACTCCTGCTGGGACTCTGAGGAGCACAGGGACTGGCCTCCTGCTGGGACTCTGAGGAGCACAGGGACTGGACTCCTGCTGGGACTCTGAGGAGCACAGGGACTGGCCTCCTGCTGGGACTCTGAGGAGCACAGGGACTGGACTCCTGCTGGGACTCTGAGGAGCACAGGGACTGGACTCCTGCTGGGACTCTGAGGAGCACAGGGACTGGCCTCCTGCTGGGACTCTGAGGAGCACAGGGACTGGCCTCCTGCTGGGACTCTGAAGAGCACAGGGACTGGACTCCTGCTGGGACTCTGAGGAGCACAGGGACTGGACTCCTGCTGGGACTCTGAGGAGCACAGGGACTGGCCTCCTGCTGGGACTCTGAGGAGCACAGGGACTGGCCTCCTGCTGGGACTCTGAGGAGCACAGGGACTGGCCTCCTGCTGGGACTCTGAGGAGCACAGGGACTGGCCTCCTGCTGGGACTCTGAGGAGCACAGGGACTGGACTCCTGCTGGGACTCTGAGGAGCACAGGGACTGGACTCCTGCTGGGACTCTGAGGAGCACAGGGACTGGACTCCTGCTGGGACTCTGAGGAGCACAGGGACTGGCCTCCTGCTGGGACTCTGAGGAGCACAGGGACTGGACTCCTGCTGGGACTCTGAGGAGCACAGGGACTGGACTCCTGCTGGGACTCTGAGGAGCACAGGGACTGGACTCCTGCTGGGACTCTGAGGAGCACAGGGACTGGCCTCCTGCTGGGACTCTGAGGAGCACAGGGACTGGACTCCTGCTGGGACTCTGAGGAGCACAGGGACTGGACTCCTGCTGGGACTCTGAGGAGCACAGGGACTGGCCTCCTGCTGGGACTCTGAGGAGCACAGGGACTGGACTCCTGCTGGGACTCTGAGGAGCACAGGGACTGGACTCCTGCTGGGACTCTGAGGAGCACAGGGACTGGACTCCTGCTGGGACTCTGAGGAGCACAGGGACTGGACTCCTGCTGGGACTCTGAGGAGCACAGGGACTGGCTGGGACTCTGAGGAGCACAGGGACTGGACTCCTGCTGGGACTCTGAGGAGCACAGGGACTGGACTCCTGCTGGGACTCTGAGGAGCACAGGGACTGGACTCCTGCTGGGACTCTGAGGAGCACAGGGACTGGACTCCTGCTGGGACTCTGAGGAGCACAGGGACTGGACTCCTGCTGGGACTCTGAGGAGCACAGGGACTGGCTGGGACTCTGAGGAGCACAGGGACTGGACTCCTGCTGGGGACTCTGAGGAGCACAGGGACTGGACTCCTGCTGGGACTCTGAGGAGCACAGGGACTGGCCTCCTGCTGGGACTCTGAGGAGCACAGGGACTGGACTCCTGCTGGGACTCTGAGGAGCACAGGGACTGGCCTCCTGCTGGGACTCTGAAGAGCACAGGGACTGGACTCCTGCTGGGACTCTGAGGAGCACAGGGACTGGACTCCTGCTGGGACTCTGAGGAGCACAGGGACTGGCCTCCTGCTGGGACTCTGAGGAGCACAGGGACTGGACTCCTGCTGGGACTCTGAGGAGCACAGGGACTGGACTCCTGCTGGGACTCTGAGGAGCACAGGGACTGGCCTCCTGCTGGGACTCTGAGGAGCACAGGGACTGGACTCCTGCTGGGACTCTGAGGAGCACAGGGACTGGCCTCCTGCTGGGACTCTGAGGAGCACAGGGACTGGACTCCTGCTGGGACTCTGAGGAGCACAGGGACTGGACTCCTGCTGGGACTCTGAGGAGCACAGGGACTGGCCTCCTGCTGGGACTCTGAGGAGCACAGGGACTGGACTCCTGCTGGGACTCTGAGGAGCACAGGGACTGGCCTCCTGCTGGGACTCTGAGGAGCACAGGGACTGGACTCCTGCTGGGACTCTGAGGAGCACAGGGACTGGACTCCTGCTGGGACTCTGAGGAGCACAGGGACTGGCCTCCTGCTGGGACTCTGAGGAGCACAGGGACTGGCCTCCTGCTGGGACTCTGAAGAGCACAGGGACTGGACTCCTGCTGGGACTCTGAGGAGCACAGGGACTGGCCTCCTGCTGGGACTCTGAGGAGCACAGGGACTGGCCTCCTGCTGGGACTCTGAGGAGCACAGGGACTGGACTCCTGCTGGGGGACTGAGGAGCACAGGGACTGGACTCCTGCTGGGACTCTGAAGAGCACAGGGACTGGACTCCTGCTGGGACTCTGAGGAGCACAGGGACTGGACTCCTGCTGGGACTCTGAGGGAGCACAGGGACTGGCCTCCTGCTGGGACTCTGAGGAGCACAGGGACTGGACTCCTGCTGGGACTCTGAGGAGCACAGGGACTGGACTCCTGCTGGGACTCTGAGGAGCACAGGGACTGGCCTCCTGCTGGGACTCTGAGGAGCACAGGGACTGGACTCCTGCTGGGACTCTGAGGAGCACAGGGACTGGACTCCTGCTGGGACTCTGAGGAGCACAGGGACTGGACTCCTGCTGGGACTCTGAGGAGCACAGGGACTGGACTCCTGCTGGGACTCTGAGGAGCACAGGGACTGGACTCCTGCTGGGACTCTGAGGAGCACAGGGACTGGCCTCCTGCTGGGACTCTGAGGAGCACAGGGACTGGACTCCTGCTGGGACTCTGAGGAGCACAGGGACTGGCCTCCTGCTGGGACTCTGAGGAGCACAGGGACTGGACTCCTGCTGGGACTCTGAGGAGCACAGGGACTGGACTCCTGCTGGGACTCTGAGGAGCACAGGGACTGGACTCCTGCTGGGACTCTGAGGAGCACAGGGACTGGACTCCTGCTGGGACTCTGAGGAGCACAGGGACTGGACTCCTGCTGGGACTCTGAGGAGCACAGGGACTGGCCTCCTGCTGGGACTCTGAGGAGCACAGGGACTGGACTCCTGCTGGGACTCTGAGGAGCACAGGGACTGGACTCCTGCTGGGACTCTGAGGAGCACAGGGACTGGCCTCCTGCTGGGACTCTGAGGAGCACAGGGACTGGCCTCCTGCTGGGACTCTGAGGAGCACAGGGACTGGACTCCTGCTGGGACTCTGAGGAGCACAGGGACTGGCCTCCTGCTGGGACTCTGAGGAGCACAGGGACTGGACTCCTGCTGGGACTCTGAGGAGCACAGGGACTGGACTCCTGCTGGGACTCTGAGGAGCACAGGGACTGGCCTCCTGCTGGGACTCTGAGGAGCACAGGGACTGGCCTCCTGCTGGGACTCTGAGGAGCACAGGGACTGGCCTCCTGCTGGGACTCTGAGGAGCACAGGGACTGGCCTCCTGCTGGGACTCTGAGGAGCACAGGGACTGGACTCCTGCTGGTCCCAGAGTGGAGCCTTCCAGATTGATGCTGTTATAATGTGAGACACTTGTTTAAATCCGGGCTAAAAACGGCTCTGTTCTTTTTAATGCACTTATTGTTTATTGCACTCGTTATTTATTTATTTATTTTTAAAGTTTAATGGTTTAAAATCCGTGTGTGATTTTTATCTTTTCATTGTGATTGTGGTGTTTTTTTGTGATTTGTGCTTGTGTGGGACTGTGAAGCTTTGTGTTACTCTGACACAGGTTCTGTCTGTGCAGGACACCGGCTCCTGTCCACTTCACCAACATCGTCCAGCGTCCCCACAGCAGAGAGGGGCCCCTGGACGGCAGAGGCTCCGTCCAATCAGAGACCAGCGTGTCTGCTCTCTTTGTGGATGACCCTGAAGTCCCGCCTCTCATGTAGGACACAGGAGTCTAAGCTATTTCTCTTTTATTTACTGTTGTTTAAACATTTTTGTTCCAAATCCTTTTTAAAACTATGTTATTGTATTATTTTGTTTTGTAAAGTTGTTTTGAAATAAAAATGTTGACTGATTTAGAAAAGTCTCTCGCTCCTTATGAGCAGGAAAACTTTTTACTCTGAGAATGAACTTTTGATCTTTATGATTGTGCTTGATTCTCTGATCTGTAGTTAGAGAATCAGCAACTTTGTAAAGTCTGCTGTGACTCAGGGCGAGAGAATAATCTTTATAATGAGGTATAACGGCATCAGGTTCTGGAACGTTCTGTGCGCTCCACGTTTGTAACTCATGGAAGCGGCTGAAGCACAGTGTTCTGATCATGAGTGTTCAGTACGAGAGGCTAACGGCTAACGGCTAACGGCAGGCCCCAGTCTCTCTTTGTGTAAATGTTAGCAAGACCATGTTTAGTAGAGTAACAACTTCCTGCAATTATTCTCTTGGTGTGTGTGTGTGCGCGTGTGTGTGTGTGCGTGCGTGCGCGTGTGTGCGCGCGTGCGTGCGCGTGTGTGCGCGCGTGCGTGTGTGTGTGTGCGTGTGTGTGTGTGTGTGTGTGCTGTATGTGTAGTCTATCAAGATCAGTCACTGAGATGCAGTTGCTCATGGGGTCTCCTCAAAATCATTCTCACACATTTTGATATAAATCCTCTTTACAGGAAGTCCTTTGCAGTATCAGAACGTAAACAGGAAGTCCTTTGCAGTATCAGAACGTAAACAGGAAGTCCTTTGCAGTATCAGAACGTAAACAGGAAGTCCTTTTCAGTATCAGAACGTAAACAGGAAGTCCTTTGCAGTATCAGAACGTAAACAGGAAGTCCTTTGCAGTATCAGAACGTAAACAGGAAGTCCTTTGCAGTATCAGAACGTAAACAGGAAGTCCTTTGCAGTATCAGAACGTAAACAGGAAGTCCTTTGCAGTATCAGAACGTAAACAGGAAGTCCTTTGCAGTATCAGAACGTAAACAGGAAGTCCTTTGCAGTATCAGAACGTAAACAGGAAGTCCTTTGCAGTATCAGAACGTAAACAGGAAGTCCTTTGCAGTATCAGAACGTAAACAGGAAGTCCTTTGCAGCATCAGAACGTAAACAGGAAGTCCTTTGCAGTATCAGAACGTAAACAGGAAGTCCTTTGCAGTATCAGAACGTAAACAGGAAGTCCTTTGCAGTATCAGAACGTAAACAGGAAGTCCTTTGCAGCATCAGAACGTAAACAGGAAATGTGTGTGAAAATGTAATGTTCTAACATGTATCTGTGAAACAACACAAGAGTCAGATTGTACAAAAAGTAAACCCCTTTATTTTCAGCTTACATAGAAAAGAAATACAAAATAAATATGTTTATCAGACGCCGAGGCCGAGGGACAGGGCCACATAAAAAAAGGAAACACAGTCTTGATCCTCCGTTTCAAAAACGACATTCATAGAGAGGCGCCCCCTGGAGGCCCCTGGAGTCACTGCAGTGCTGAGGCCCCTGGAGTCATTGCAGTGCGGCGCCCCCTGGAAGCCCCTGGAGTCATTGCAGTGCGGCGCCCCCTGGAGGCCCCTGGAGTCACTGCAGTGCTGAGGCCCCTGGAGTCATTGCAGTGCGGCGCCCCCTGGAAGCCCCTGGAGTCATTGCAGTGCGGCGCCCCCTGGAAGCCCCTGGAGTCATTGCAGTGCGGCGCCCCCCCTGGAGTCACTGCAGTGCTGAGGCCCCTGGAGTCATTGCAGTGCGGCGCCCCCTTGAGGCCCCTGGAGTCATTGCAGTGCTGAGGCCCCTGGAGTCATTGCAGTGCGGCGCCCCCTTGAGGCCCCTGGAGTCACTGCAGTGCTGAGGCCCCTGGAGTCATTGCAGTGCGGCGCCCCCTTGAGGCCCCTGGAGTCACTGCAGTGCTGAGGCCCCTGGAGTCATTGCAGTGCGGCGCCCCCTTGAGGCCCCTGGAGTCATTGCAGTGCGGGGCCAGAGCTATTGTTCCGTTGGAATGTTTCAAATCCGTGTTTGTGCTGATCAGCTGCACATAAGCGAGTCAGCTCTGGGAAGTCTCCCATCCCACTGTGTGGGAGGAGTCAGGGCCCAATGTTTGTCGGAACTGCTACAATTATTCGACATTTGACTAAACTTCGTCTTTTGGAAATCTGCAAAGAGCAGAGCAGAAGAGAGAGTGCAGCTGTGGAGAGAGTGCAGCTGTGGAGAGAGTGCAGCTGTGGAGAGTGTCTCTGAGGGGCTCACTAATCAGATCAGGTGTATACAGAGACATGTATACTGAGACATGTATACTGAGACATGTATACAGAGACATGTATACAGAGACATGTATACAGAGACATGTATACTGAGACATGTATACTGAGACATGTATACAGAGACATGTATACAGAGACATGTATACTGAGACATGTATACAGAGACATGTATACTGAGACATGTATACTGAGACATGTATACTGAGACATGTATACAGAGACATGTATACTGAGACATGTATACTGAGACATGTATACTGAGACATGTATACAGAGACATGTATACAGAGACATGTATACTGAGACATGTATACAGAGACATGTATACAGAGACATGTATACTGAGACATGTATACAGAGACATGTATACTGAGACATGTATACTGAGACATGTATACTGAGACATGTATACTGAGACATGTATACAGAGACATGTATACAGAGACATGTATACTGAGACATGTATACAGAGACATGTATACTGAGACATGTATACTGAGACATGTATACAGAGACATGTATACAGAGACATGTATACTGAGACATGTATACAGAGACATGTATACAGAGACATGTATACAGAGACATGTATACTGAGACATGTATACAGAGACATGTATACAGAGACATGTATACAGAGACATGTATACAGAGACATGTATACTGAGACATGTATACAGAGACATGTATACAGAGACATGTATACAGAGACATGTATACAGAGACATGTATACAGAGACATGTATACTGAGACATGTATACAGAGACATGTATACAGAGACATGTATACAGAGACATGTATACTGAGACATGTATACAGAGACATGTATACAGAGACATGTATACTGAGACATGTATACAGAGACATGTATACTGAGACATGTATACAGAGACATGTATACAGAGACATGTATACTGAGACATGTATACAGAGACATGTATACAGAGACATGTATACAGAGACATGTATACAGAGACATGTATACTGAGACATGTATACAGAGACATGTATACAGAGACATGTATACAGAGACATGTATACTGAGACATGTATACAGAGACATGTATACAGAGACATGTATACTGAGACATGTATACAGAGACATGTATACAGAGACATGTATACAGAGACATGTATACAGAGACATGTATACAGAGACATGTATACAGAGACATGTATACAGAGACATGTATACAGAGACATGTATACAGAGACATGTATACTGAGACATGTATACAGAGACATGTATACAGAGACATGTATACTGAGACATGTATACAGAGACATGTATACTGAGACATGTATACAGAGACATGTATACTGAGACATGTATACAGAGACATGTATACTGAGACATGTATACTGAGACATGTATACAGAGACATGTATACAGAGACATGTATACTGAGACATGACATGTATACAGAAACATGTATACTGAGACATGTATACAGAGACATGTATACTGAGACATGTATACAGAGACATGTATACTGAGACATGTATACTGAGACAGAATCTTAAATCGTTTGTTTCTGAGACGTGTTTGTTCAGTTTCCTCGACTGTTTGATGAAGAATATGGACCTTTCCAACATGTGTCATTAGAGACTGGACCCTCTGACTGAGAGGGACCAAAGAGGGTCCAGAGAGGGTCCAGAGAGGGTCCAGAGAGGGTCCAGAGAGGGTCCAGAGAGGGTCTCAGAGAGGGTCCAGAGAGGGTCCCAGAAAGGGTCCAGAGAGGGTCTCAGAGAGGGTCCAGAGAGGGTCCAGAGAGGGTCCAGAGAGGGTCCCAGAAAGGGTCCAGAGAGGGTCTCAGAGAGGGTCCAGAGAGGGTCCAGAGAGGGTCCAGAGAGGGTCCCAGAAAGGGTCCCAGAAAGGGTCCAGAGAGGGTCTCAGAGAGGGTCCAGAGAGGGTCCAGAGAGGGTCCAGAGAGGGTCTCAGAGAGGGCCCAGAGAGGGTCCAGAGAGGGTCCAGAGAGGGTCCAGAGAGGGTCCAGAGAGGGCCCAGAGAGGGTCCAGGGAGGGTCTCAGAGAGGGCCCAGAGAGGGTCCAGAGAGGGCCCAGAGAGGAGTAGTGGATGTGGAGCCTCAGATATTTGTTGCATATTTTAGATCCCAGACTTAGTCACTGTTATTGAACAGCAGGATGTGGATTATTATTGGACGTGAAACATCTGGATCCAAGAGAAACGAACCCTCAGAACGATAAAATAATGATCCACTCTGAGTTTGAATCTTACTTTAAACTAAAGCAGCAGCAGACACCGAGACCCAAAGGTCAGAAGAATAAAGTCTGGGCCTCAGCCTCAGTTGTGCTATCCTCCGTGGACTCGCCGTGGTCGCCTCACGACAGCTCGGTCTGGTCCGTGGACTCGCCGTGGTCGCCTCACGACAGCTCGGTCTGGTCCGTGGACTCGCCGCGGTCGCCTCATGACAGCTCGGTCTGGTCCGTGGACTCGCCGTGGTCGCCTCATGACAGCTCGGTCTGGTCCGTGGACTCGCCGTGGTCGCCTCACGACAGCTCGGTCTGGTCCGTGGACTCGCCGTGGTCGCCTCACGACAGCTCGGTCTGGTCCGTGGACTCGCCGTGGTCGCCTCATGACAGCTCGGTCTGGTCCGTGGACTCGCCGTGGTCGCCTCATGACAGCTCGGTCTGGTCCGTGGACTCGCCGTGGTCGCCTCATGACAGCTCGGTCTGGTCCGTGGACTCGCCGTGGTCGCCTCATGACAGCTCGGTCTGGTCCGTGGACTCGCCGTGGCCGCCTCATGACAGCTCGGTCTGGTCCGTGGACTCGCCGTGGTCGCCTCATGACAGCTCGGTCTGGTCCGTGGACTCGCCGCGGTCGCCTCATGACAGCTCGGTCTGGTCCGTGGACTCGCCGTGGCCGCCTCATGACAGCTCGGTCTGGTCCGTGGACTCGCCGTGGTCGCCTCATGACAGCTCGGTCTGGTCCGTGGACTCGCCGTGGTCGCCTCATGACAGCTCGGTCTGGTCCGTGGACTCGCCGTGGTCGCCTCATGACAGCTCGGTCTGGTCCGTGGACTCGCCGTGGTCGCCTCATGACAGCTCGGTCTGGTCCGTGGACTCGCCGTGGTCGCCTCATGACAGCTCGGTCTGGTCCGTGGACTCGCCGTGGTCGCCTCATGACAGCTCGGTCTGGTCCGTGGACTCGCCGCGGTCGCCTCATGACAGCTCGGTCTTGTCCGTGGACTCGCCGCGGTCGCCTCATGACAGCTCGGTCTGGTCCGTGGACTCGCCGCGGTCGCCTCATGACAGCTCGGTCTGGTCCGTGGACTCGGCGTGGTGCCCGCTGGTGCTGTCGGAGGCGGGCGCCAACAGCGTCCTGCGGTTGTAGTGGTGTCCCTTCATGATGCCCTGGTTGTTGTTGTCGTTGAGGATCTGCTTCTGCTTCTGGCGGTTCAGCGACTGCACCAGGCCCAGCACCACGGCGGCGAGCGAGTACTGCCCGGTGATCTTACGCGGCTGCAGGAGGATGGGGTTGGGCTGGACGCGGCCCGACAGGAAGTGCGTGCGGATCTTGCCCTCCTGCTCGCTGATGCCCTTGACATAGATCTCGCCGCGGTACTCGAAGGCAAAGCCGCGCTCCTTGAGGATCAGGAAGGTGTCCTCAGGAACCTGGATCTTGCCGCTGACTCCGGTGCTGTCCATGCGGCTCGCCAGGTTCACCGTCTTCCCCCAGATGTCGTACTGCGGCTTCTTGGCGCCGATGACGCCCGCCACCACCGAGCCGTGCGCCATGCCTGCGGGACGAGGAGAAACGTTTGCATTTATTTACGGTTGAACAGTGGTATGGAGATTCTTATTGGATGGACTCTTGAACAGTGTTTTAGCTTTAGCCGTTAGCAGCTAACGTGAGCGACGTTAGGAGGGAGGAGACCAGGAGGAGACCCGGGACACAGAGGAGGAGACCAGGAGGAGACCCGGGACACAGAGGAGGAGACCAGGATGAGACCCAGGACACAGAGGGAGGAGAGCACCAGGAGGAGACCCGGGACACAGAGGAGGAGACCAGGAGGAGACCCGGGACACAGAGGAGGAGACCAGGATGAGACCCAGGACACAGAGGGAGGAGACCAGGAGGAGACCCGGGACACAGAGGAGGAGACCAGGAGGAGACCAGGACACAGAGGGAGGAGACCAGGAGGAGACCCGGGACACAGAGGAGGAGACCAGGAGGAGACCCGGGACACAGAGGAGGAGACCAGGATGAGACCCAGGACACAAGAGGGAGGAGACCAGGAGGAGACCCGGGACACAGAGGAGGAGACCAGGATGAGACCCAGGACACAGAGGGAGGAGACCAGGATGAGACCCGGGACACAGAGGAGGAGACCAGGAGGAGACCAGGACACAGAGGGAGGAGACCAGGAGGAGACCAGGACACAGAGGGGGAGACCAGGAGGAGACCAGGACACAGAGGGAGGGGACCAGGAGGAGACCAAGACACAGAGGGAGGAGACCAGGAGGAGACCCTGGACACAGAGGGAGGAGACCAGGAGGAGACCAGGACACAGAGGGGGAGACCAGGAGGAGACCAGGACACAGAGGGAGGAGACCAGGAGGAGACCCAGGACACAGAGGGAGGGGACCAGGAGGAGACCAGGACACAGAGGGAGGAGACCAGGAGGAGACCCAGGAAACAAAGGGAGGAGACCAGGAGGAGACCAGGACACAAAGGGAGGAGACCAGGATGAGACCCGGGACACAGAGGAGGAGACCAGGAGGAGACCCAGGACACAGAGGGGGAGACCAGGAGGAGACCCAGGACACAGAGGGGGGAGACCAGGAGGAGACCAGGACACAGAGGGAGGGGACCAGGAGGAGACCAGGACACAAAGGGAGGAGACCAGGAGGAGACCAGGACACAGAGGGAGGAGACCAGGAGGAGACCCAGGACACAGAGGAGGAGACCAGGAGGAGACCCAGGACACAGAGGGAGGGGACCAGGAGGAGACCAGGAGGAGACCCAGGACACAGAGGGAGGGGACCAGGAGGAGACCCAGGACAAAGAGGGGGAGACCAGGAGGAGACCAGGACACAGAGGGAGGGGACCAGGAGGAGACCAAGACACAGAGGGAGGAGACCAGGAGGAGACCAGGACACAGAGGGGGAGACCAGGAGGAGACCAGGACACAGAGGGAGGGGACCAGGAGGAGACCAGGAGGAGACCAGGACACAGAGGGAGGGGACCAGGAGGAGACCAGGACACAAAGGGAGGAGACCAGGAGGAGACCAGGACACAGAGGGAGGAGACCAGGAGGAGACCCAGGACACAGAGGAGGAGACCAGGAGGAGACCCAGGACACAGAGGGAGGGGACCAGGAGGAGACCAGGACACAGAGGGAGGAGACCAGGAGGAGACCCAGGACACAGAGGGAGGGGACCAGGAGGAGACCAGGACACAAAGGGAGGAGACCAGGAGGAGACCAGGACACAGAGGGAGGAGACCAGGAGGAGACCCAGGACACAGAGGAGGAGACCAGGAGGAGACCCAGGACACAGAGGGAGGGGACCAGGAGGAGACCAGGAGGAGACCCAGGACACAGAGGGAGGGGACCAGGAGGAGACCCAGGACAAAGAGGGGGAGACCAGGAGGAGACCAGGACACAGAGGGAGGGGACCAGGAGGAGACCAAGACACAGAGGGAGGAGACCAGGAGGAGACCAGGACACAGAGGGGGAGACCAGGAGGAGACCAGGACACAGAGGGAGGGGACCAGGAGGAGACCAGGAGGAGACCAGGAGGAGACCAGGACACAGAGGGAGGGGACCAGGAGGAGACCAGGACACAAAGGGAGGAGACCAGGAGGAGACCAGGACACAGAGGGAGGAGACCAGGAGGAGACCCAGGACACAGAGGAGGAGACCAGGAGGAGACCCAGGACACAGAGGGAGGGGACCAGGAGGAGACCAGGACACAGAGGGAGGAGACCAGGAGGAGACCAGGACACAGAGGGGGAGACCAGGAGGAGACCCAGGACACAGAGGGAGGAGACCAGGAGGAGACCAGGACACAGAGGGGGAGACCAGGAGGAGACCAGGACACAGAGGGAGGGGACCAGGAGGAGACCAGGAGGAGACCAGGACACAGAGGGAGGCTACCAGGAGGAGACCAGGACACAGAGGGGGAGACCAGGAGGAGACCCAGGACACAGAGGGGGAGACCAGGAGGAGACCCAGGACACAGAGGGAGGGGACCAGGAGGAGACCCAGGACACAGAGGGAGGAGACCAGGAGGAGACCCAGGACACAGAGGGAGGAGACCAGGAGGAGACACAGGACACAGAGGGAGGAGACCAGGAGGAGACCCAGGACACAGAGGGAGGGGACCAGGAGGAGACCAGGAGGAGACCAGGACACAGAGGGAGGCTACCAGGAGGAGACCCAGGACAAAGAGGGGGAGACCAGGAGGAGACCCAGGACAAGAGGGGGGAGACCAGGAGGAGACCAGGACACAGAGGGAGGACCAGGAGGAGACCCATGACAAAGAGGGGGAGACCAGGAGGAGACCCAGGACACAGAGGGGAACCGAGGAGACCAGGACACAGAGGAGACCAGGGCAGGACACAGAGGGAGGAGACCAGGAGGAGACCCAGGACACAGAGGAGGAGACCAGGAGGAGACCAGGAGGAGACCAGGAGGAGACCAGGACACAGAGGGAGGCTACCAGGAGGAGACCCAGGACAAAGAGGGGGAGACCAGGAGGAGACCAGGACACAGAGGGAGGCTACCAGGAGGAGACCCATGACAAAGAGGGGGAGACCAGGAGGAGACCCAGGACACAGAGGGGGAGACCAGGAGGAGACCCAGGACACAGAGGGAGGAGACCAGGAGGAGACCAGGACACAGAGGGAGGAGACCAGGAGGAGACCCAGGACACAGAGGAGGAGACCAGGAGGAGACCAGGACACAGAGGGGGAGACCAGGAGGAGACCAGGACACAGAGGGAGGGGACCAGGAGGAGACCAAGACACAGAGGGAGGAGACCAGGAGGAGACCCTGGACACAGAGGGAGGAGACCAGGAGGAGACCCAGGACAAAGAGGGAGGCTACCAGGAGGAGACCAGGACACAGAGGGAGGAGACCAGGAGGAGACCAGGACACAGAGGGAGGAGACCAGGAGGAGACCAGGAGGAGACCCAGGACACAGAGGGGGAGACCAGGAGGAGACCCAGGACACAGAGGGAGGAGACCAGGAGGAGACCCAGGACACAGAGGGAGGAGACCAGGAGGAGACCCAGGACACAGAGGGAGGAGACCAGGAGGAGACCCAGGACACAGAGGGAGGAGACCAGGAGGAGACCAGGACACAGAGGGAGGAGACCAGGAGGAGACCCAGGACACAGAGGGAGGAGACCAGGAGGAGACCCAGGACACAGAGGGGGAGACCAGGAGGAGACCCAGGACACAGAGGGAGGGGACCAGGAGGAGACCAGGACACAGAGGGAGGAGACCAGGAGGAGACCAGGAGGAGACCCAGGACACAGAGGGGGAGACCAGGAGGAGGAGACCAGGACACAGAGGGAGGAGACCAGGAGGAGACCAGGACACAGAGGGGGAGACCAGGAGGAGACCAGGACACAGAGGGAGGGGACCAGGAGGAGACCAAGACACAGAGGGAGGAGACCAGGAGGAGACCCTGGACACAGAGGGAGGAGACCAGGAGGAGACCAGGACACAGAGGGGGAGACCAGGAGGAGACCAGGACACAGAGGGAGGGGACCAGGAGGAGACCAGGAGGAGACCAGGACACAGAGGGAGGGGACCAGGAGGAGACCCAGGACAAAGAGGGAGGCTACCAGGAGGAGACCAGGAGGAGACCAGGACACAGAGGGAGGAGACCAGGAGGAGACCCAGGACACAGAGGGAGGAGACCAGGAGGAGACCCAGGACACAGAGGGAGGAGACCAGGAGGAGACCCAGGACACAGAGGGAGGAGACCAGGAGGAGACCAGGACACAGAGGGAGGAGACCAGGAGGAGACCCGGGACACAGAGGGAGGAGACCAGGAGGAGACCAGGACACAGAGGGGGAGACCAGGAGGAGACCAGGACACAGAGGGAGGGGACCAGGAGGAGACCAGGAGGAGACCAGGACACAGAGGGAGGCTACCAGGAGGAGACCCAGGACAAAGAGGGGGAGACCAGGAGGAGACCCAGGACACAGAGGGAGGAGACCAGGAGGAGACCAGGAGGAGACCCAGGACACAGAGGGGGAGACCAGGAGGAGACCCAGGACACAGAGGGAGGGGACCAGGAGGAGACCAGGACACAGAGGGAGGAGACCAGGAGGAGACCCAGGACACAGAGGGAGGAGACCAGGAGGAGACCCAGGACACAGAGGGAGGCTACCAGGAGGAGACCCAGGACAAAGAGGGGGAGACCAGGAGGAGACCCAGGACACAGAGGGAGGAGACCAGGAGGAGACCAGGAGGAGACCCAGGACACAGAGGGGGAGACCAGGAGGAGACCAGGACACAGAGGGTGGAGACCAGGAGGAGACCCAGGACACAGAGGGAGGGGACCAGGAGGAGACCAGGACACAGAGGGAGGAGACCAGGAGGAGACCAGGACACAGAGGGAGGAGACCAGGAGGAGACCCAGGACACAGAGGAGGAGACCAGGAGGAGACCCAGGACACAGAGGGAGGAGACCAGGAGGAGACCCAGGACACAGAGGAGGAGACCAGGAGGAGACCCAGGACACAGAGGGAGGGGACCAGGAGGAGACCAGGAGGAGACCCAGGACACAGAGGGAGGGGACCAGGAGGAGACCAGGAGGGGACCAGGACACAGAGGGAGTACTGTGTGTGCGTCTGTGTGTGTGTCTGTGTCAGAGTGTCAGTGTGTCTGTGTGTGTGTGTGTGTCTGTGTGTCTGTCAGTGTGTGTGTCTGTGTGTGTGTCAGTGTGTGTCAGTGTCTGTGTGTGCGTCAGAGTGTCAGTGTGTCTGTGTGTGTGTGTGTCTGTCAGTGTGTGTGTCTGTGTGTGTGTCAGTCTGTGTGTGTGTCAGTCTGTGTGTGTGTGTGTGTCAGTGTGTGTGTCTGTGTGTGTGTCAGTCTGTGTGTGTGTGTGTGTCAGTGTGTGTGTCTGTGTGTGTGTCAGTCTGTGTGTCAGTCTGTGTGTGTGTGTGTGTCAGTGTGTGTGTCTCACCGATGCGCAGTTCAAAGTTGTTGAATGAGTGTTTGTTGATTTCTTGGATACTTTCGTTCAGAGCGATGGCAAAGTCTGCGAGCGCACACAGGTGTCCCCACTTATCCTCACACTGCTGCGGACACACAACAGGAAGTGTCACACGCACAACAGGAAGTGTCACACGCACAACAGGAAGTGTCACACGCACACCAGGAAGTGTCACACGCACAACAGGAAGTGTCACACGCACAACAGGAAGTGTCACACGCACACCAGGAAGTGTCACACGCACAACAGGAAGTGTCACACGCACACCAGGAAGTGTCACACGCACAACAGGAAGTGTCACGCGCACAATGTTGTGTGTCTTACCTGTTTCTCCGGCGACAGCCCGGACACTGCCATGTACGTGCTGCCGATGGTCTTGATCTTCTCTATGTCCTGGAAACGCTCCTCCCCCAAGAGCTGCAACACAACACACTCAGTCTCCTCCTGCACCTCCTCCCACCTCCTGCCCCAAGAGCTGCAACACAACACACTCAGTCTCCTCCTGCACCTCCTCCCACCTCCTGCCCCAAGAGCTGCAACACAACACACTCAGTCTCCTCCTGCACCTCCTCCCACCTCCTGCCCCAAGAGCTGCAACACAACACACTCAGTCTCCTCCTGCACCTCCTCCCACCTCCTGCCCTAAGAGCTGCAACACAACACACTCAGTCTCCTCCTGCACCTCCTGCCCAACAGCTGCAACACAACACACTCAGTTTCCTCCTGCACCTCCTCCCACCTCCTGCCCCAAGAGCTGCAACACAACACACTCAGTCTCCTCCTGCACCTCCTCCCACCTCCTGCCCAACAGCTGCAACACAACACACTCAGTCTCCTCCTGCACCTCCTCCCACCTCCTGCCCCAAGAGCTGCAACACAACACACTCAGTCTCCTCCTGCACCTCCTCCCACCTCCTGCCCCAAGAGCTGCAACACAACACACTCAGTCTCCTCCTGCACCTCCTCCCACCTCCTGCCCCAAGAGCTGCAACACAACACACTCAGTCTCCTCCTGCACCTCCTCCCACCTCCTGCCCAACAGCTGCAACACAATACACTCAGTCTCCTCCCACCTCCTGCCCCAAGAGCTGCAACACAACACACTCAGTCTCTTCCTGCACCTCCTCCCACCTCCTGCCCAACAGCTGCAACACAATACACTCAGTCTCCTCCCACCTGCTGCCCCAAGAGATGCAACACAACACACTCAGTCTCCTCCTGCACCTCCTCCCACCTCCTCCCTCAAGAGCTGCAACACAACTGAGCTGCTCTCACTCTCTCACTCTCGCTCTCACACTCACACTCACAGGAGGTGGGAGGAGGTGCAGTCTCCTCCTGCACCTCCTCCCACCTCCTCCCCAAGAGCTGCAACACAACACACTCAGTCTCCTCCTGCACCTCCTCCCACCTCCTGTGAGTGTGAGTGTGAGAGCGAGAGCGAGAGCGAGAGAGTGAGTGAGAGTGAGAGTGAGAGTGTGGAGTGTGAGAGGGAGTGTGAGAGAGTGAGAGTGTGAGTGTGAGAGAGAGAGAGAGTGAGAGTGTGAGAGAGTGTGAGAGTGAGAGTGTGAGGGAGTGTGAGAGTGAGAGAGCGAGAGAGTGAGTGAGAGTGAGAGTGTGAGAGTGTGAGGGAGTGTGAGAGTGAGAGTGTGAGGGAGTGTGAGAGTGAGAGAGTGAGAGTGTGAGAGTGTGAGAGAGTGTGAGAGTGAGAGTGTGAGAGTGAGAGAGTGAGAGAGTGAGAGTGTGAGAGGGAGTGTGAGAGAGTGAGAGTGTGAGTGTGAGAGAGTGAGAGGGAGTGTGTGAGTGGGAGTGTGTGAGAGTGGGAGTGTGAGAGAGTGAGAGTGAGATAGTGAGAGTGTGAGTGGGAGTGTGAGAGAGGGAGTGTGAGAGAGTGAGAGTGGGAGTGTGAGAGAGGGAGTGTGAGAGTGGAGAGTGAGAGAGTGAGAGTGAGAAAGTGAGAGAGTGAGAGTGAGGGTGTGAGAGTGAGAGAGTGTGGAGTGAGAGAGTGTGAGCGTGAGAGTGAGAGTGTGAGTGTGAGAGTGAGAGTGTGAGAGTGGGAGTGAGAGAGTGAGAGAGTGAGAGTGGGAGAGTGAGAGTGAGAGAGTGAGAGTGAGTGAGGGTGAGTGAGGGTGAGAGTGAGAGAGCGTGAGAGAGAACGTGAGAGTGGGAGTGGGAGAGTGAGAGTGAGAGTGAGAGTGTGTGAGAGTGAGAGAGTGAGAGTGAGTGAGGGTGAGTGAGGGTGAGAGTGAGAGAGCGTGAGCGAGAACGTGAGAGTGGGAGTGTGTGAGAGTGAGAGTGGGAGTGAGAGTGTGAGAGTGGGAATGAGAGTGAGAGAGAGGGAGTGTGAGAGTGAGAGTGTAAGAGTGGGAGTGGGAGAGAGGGAGTGTGAGAGAGAGTGAGAGTGTGAGAGGGAGTGTGAGAAAGTTAGAGTGGGAGTGAGTGTGTGAGTGTGAGTGAGAGTGGGAGTGTGTGAGAGTGGGAGTGTGAGAGAGTGAGAGTGAGATAGTGAGAGTGAGAGTGGGAGTGAGAGTGAGAGTGTGTGAGAGTGAGTGAGAGTGAGAGTGGGAGAGAGTGAGAGAGTGAGAGTGTGAGAGTGAGAGTGAGTGAGGGTGAGAGTGGGAGCGAGAACGTGAGAGTGGGAGTGTGTGAGAGTGAGAGTGGGAGTGTGAGAGTGGGAGTGGGAGTGTGGGAGTGTGAGAGAGTGGGAGTGGGAGTGTGGGAGTGTGAGAGTGAGAATGGGAGTGAGAGAGTGGGAGAGAGGGTGTGAGAGTGAGAGTGGGAGTGTGAGAGTGGGAGTGAGAGAGTGAGAGTGGGAGTGTGAGAGTGGGAGAGAGGGAGTGTGAGAGTGAGTGAGAGAGAGTGAGAGTGAGAGTGAGTGAGAGTGGGAGAGAGTGAGAGTGTGAGAGTGAGAGTGACAGTGAGTGAGGGTGAGAGTGGGAGCGAGAACGTGAGAGTGTGAGTGTGTGAGAGTGGGAGTGTGAGAGAGAGAGAGTGGGAGTGTGAGAGAGTGAGAGCGTGAGAGTGAGAGTGGGAGTGAGAGAGTGAGAGTGGGAGTGAGAGTGGGAGTGTGTGAGAGTGGGAATGTGAGAGTGGGAGTGAGAGTGTGAGTGAGAGAGTGAGTGTGAGAGTGTGAGAGAGTGAGTGGGAGTGGGAGTGTGAGAGAGTGAGAGTGTGAGAGAGTGAGAGTGACAGTGTGTGAGAGTGGGAGTGTGAGAGAGAGAGTGTGAGAGAGAGAGAGTGGGAGAGAGTGAGAGTGGGAGTGTTAGAGAGTGAGAGCGTGAGAGTGAGAGTGGGAGTGAGAGAGTGAGAGTGGGAGTGGGAGTGAGAGTGGGAGTGGGAGTGTGTGAGAGTGGGAGTGTGAGAGTGGGAGTGAGAGTGAGAGAGTGAGTGTGAGAGTGAGAGTGTGAGAGAGTGAGTGGGAGTGTGAGTGTGTGAGAGTGTGAGTGTGACAGTGTGAGTGTGTGAGAGTGGGAGTGTGAGAGAGAGAGAGTGGGAGAGAGTGAGAGTGTGAGAGTGTGAGAGTGGGAGTGAGAGTGGGGGTGTGAGAGTGGGAGTGAGAGTGGGGGTGTGAGAGAGAGAGAGTGGGAGAGAGTGAGAGTGAGAGTGTGAGAGTGGGAGTGAGAGTGGGGGTGTGAGAGTGGGAGTGAGAGTGGGGGTGTGAGAGAGAGAGAGTGGGAGAGAGTGAGAGTGAGAGTGTGAGAGTGGGGAGTGAGAGTGGGGGTGTGAGAGTGGGAGTGAGAGTGGGGGTGTGAGAGTGGGAGTGAGAGTGGGAGTGGGAGTGAGAGAGTGTGAGTGAGAGTGTGAGTGTGAGAGTGTGAGTGTGAGAGTGTGAGAGTGTGAGAGAGCGAGAGTGTGAGAGTGAGAGAGTGAGTGTGAGAGTGGGAGTGTGAGAGAGTGAGAGCGTGAGAGTGAGAGAGTGAGAGTGAGAGCTCTCACTTCGTCGAAGTCTGCAATGATCTCGTTGAGCAGTCGCAGACACTCCACTCCCTGATTGTTCATCTCCGTCTGAGAATAAAAATCTGCAAATCCAGGAATCGATGCAAACATCACTCCGACCGCATCGTAGGACTGAGAGTACAGCTCCTGTGGACACAAGCACAGGCGCTGCTACAGGTGCTGCTACAGGCGCTGCTACAGGTGCTGCTACAGGTGCTGCTACAGGTGCTGCTACAGGTGCTACTGCCTCATAGGACAGCAACCATTCACACACCACACTCATCCTGATGTGGGGGAAGTGTCTTGCCGAAGGACACAACCACAGTTTGGCAGCAGGAGGGACTGTCCTCCTGCTGGGACTCTGAGGAGCACAGGGACTGGCCTCCTGCTGGGACTCTTAGGAGCACAGGGACTGGCCTCCTGCTGGGACTCTGAGGAGCACAGGGACTGGCCTCCTGCTGGGACTCTGAGGAGCACAGGGACTGGCCTCCTGCTGGTCCCTGTGCTCCCACCAGCAGAGGGCGGTGCAGCCCCATCACTGTCTGCCTCACAGACTTTGGGTGCTTTCACACCTGTTGGTCCACTAAAGTGGTTCACTTGGGCCCTAAAGTTGTTACAATGTTGCAGTTCTTAACTAGTTCGGTTCTCATTCACACCAGTGTTTTTGCAAATGAACCAACCACTGTGGATGTTACATATTCTGTCACCCATGTGGTGGCGCTGTTCACAAAATACTGTGTTTTGGATGATGTATGTGAAACCTGATTGGTGCAGGATGTGAAGAGGGAAAAATACCAGAAGAAAACAAACTTGTCAGATCTTTAAAGGACAACTCACCCTCAAATCCACTTTTTTTTGCTGATAAACGGTTTAAATGAGTGTCCAATAGTGGTGTCTACATATCCTGGTCATAATTTTGTCACTTTGGTGCAAATTAGTTGAAAGTTAAACTTTCTGCCTAAAACCGTCTGTGAGGCGCCATCTGCTGGCGACCTGTATTACTACATTTGAATTTTGAATCTGGCGCCAACACTGGCACAGAAGTTGGACCTGACGTCAGCAGCCCCCCGCCCAGAGCAATGTAAACGGCCCAGTCTCGTTCACGCCCCCTTCAGTCCTCCAGGCCACGCCCATTTAGAGGAAGATTTGAACAGGAAATGTGAGTGACGTAAGCTCCGAGGAGCGGGGGTGAGAACCACTTTAACAATGAACTGTGCTGCTCTAGTGTGTGGCTATTTTTTTATCATCGTTGCTTTGTGCAGCACAAATACTGTTGTTCCAGTTCCAGTTTGTATCACGGAGATCAGCACGAGAACACTCTGCGGTTGTTTTTGACTATTCTATCATATATAAAAAACAATGTGTGTTAAAAAGTGAGCTACACAACAGAGCAGGGCCATATTGAGGCCGGTCTGCGTTCTCACCAGCAGCGAACCAGACTGGAGTCCACATGGAACCGTACCGAGACCAGCTCCCTAAGGTGGTCTCGGTACGGTTCTTTAGTCCGGACCAAATTTAACTGGTCCACTTTCACACCTGCTCAAACGAACCGTACTTGCAGGTGATCCAGACTCCAGTCCGTTTTAAGTGGACTAAATGGTGCAGGTGTGAAAGCACCCTTTAACTTTAGAGAATAACATTTACGTATATCTACAATAATCAAACTAACATGTGACGTCACCATGTGACATCAACAGTTCTTATAGAACAAACTGATGTTCAGCCTGAAACAGGATCTTGAGGATCTTTAAGGAGGTCCTGTTTTAGACGCTGCAGCAGTAAAACTATACTCCTCCGTATAAACTCAGCCTGAGTCTCCCCTCTCCTCTCTCTCAGGAGGCGGTCGTCTCAGCGCACAGACACCCTCCAGGAGGCGGTCCAGAAGCAGAAACACAGAACTTTAGACACCATCAACAATCACAGATGTCACAAGATGGCTTCGGAGTGTCTGGTGTGCCGCTTGGCTCTGCTCAGTTTTTTACTAATTTTAACATATTTTACAAGGACCATCGACTCACTGCTGGTGTATGACCGTCAGGAATTGTTTAAGATCAGGGAAAATGTCATCTCATGTGCGACCTTCAAGTCAAACAAGTCAGATTCCTTGCATCTGTCCAACGTGCCTGACTGTCCCCTCCGTGTGAACGCACTCGTCCCCAGGAAGCCCAGACACCGCCGTGGAGTGGGAGCTGGCAGGCTGGTGCAGCTAAAGGCCTGGCTGGCGCTTTCCCCGGGTAAGGCACAGGCCTCTATACCATAAAAAAAACAGAAGTAATTCTCTTTGGGGCCAATCAGGTGGAAGTGGGACCTCAGTCACAGACCTCTGAGAGAACATGTCCCACAGTCAGCCAGATATTAGTCTGGGCGACTAACATCTGGATGACTAACGTCTGGGCGACTGTAACGTCTGGACGACTAACATCTGGGCGACTGCAACGTCTAGACGACTAACGTCTGGGCGACTGTAAAGTCTGGGCGACTGTAACGTCTGGACGACTAACATCTGGGCGACTGTAACGTCTGGGCGACTGTAACGTCTGGACGACTAACGTCTGGGCAACTAACGTCTGGGCGACTGTAAAGTCTGGGCGACTGTAACGTCTGGGCGACTGTAACATTTGGGCGACTGTAACGTCTGGACGACTAAGATCTGGGCGACTAACGTCTGGGCGACTAACGTCTGGGCGACTAACGTCTGGACGACTAACGTCTGAGCGACTGTAAAGTCTGCGCGACTGCAACGTCTGCGCGACTGCAACGTCTGCGCGACTGCAACGTCTGGGCGACTAACGTCTGCGCGACTGCAACGTCTGGGCGACTAACGTCTGGGCGACTAACGTCTGGGCGACTAACGTCTGGGCGACTAACGTCTGGGCGACTGTAACGTCTGGGCGACTGCAACGTCTGGACAACTGTAACGTCTGGAAGTCTAACGCCTGGGCGACTAACGTCTAGACGACTAAAGTCTGAATGATTAACGTCTGGGCGACTGTAACGTCTGGGCGACTGTAAAGTCTGGGCGACTGTAACGTCTGGGCGACTGTAACATTTGGGCGACTGTAACGTCTGGACGACTAAGATCTGGGCGACTAACGTCTGGGCGACTGACGTCTGGACGACTAACGTCTGGGCGACTGTAAAGTCTGCGCGACTGCAACGTCTGGGCGACTAACGTCTGGGCGACTAACGTCTGGGCGACTGTAACGTCTGGGCGACTGCAACGTCTGGACAACTGTAACGTCTGGAGGTCTAACGCCTGGGCGACTAACGTCTAGACGACTAAAGTCTGAATGGTTAACGTCTGGGCGACTGTAACGTCTGGGCGACTGTAACGTCTGGGCGACTAACGTCTGGGCGACTAACGTCTGGACAACTGTAACGTCTGGAAGACTAACGCCTGGGCGACTGTAACGTCTGGACGACTGTAACATCTGGGCGACTGTAACGTCTGGACGTCTGGGCGACTGTAACGTCTGGACGACTAATGTCTGGGCGACTGTAACGTCAGGGCAACTGTAACGTCTGGGCGACTGCAACGTCTGGACCACTGTAGAGTCTGGGCGACTGTAAAGTCTGGGCGACTGTAAAGTCTGGGCAACTAACGTCTGGACGACTAACGCCTGGACGACTAACGTCTGGGCGACTGTAACGTCTGGACGACTTGTAACGTCTGGACGACTGTAACGTCACTGTAACGTCAGGGCGACTGTAACGTCAGGGCGACTGCAACGTCTGGACCACTGTAGAGTCTGGGCGACTGTAAAGTCTGGGCGACTGTAAAGTCTGGGCGACTGTAAAGTCTGGGCGACTGTAAAGTCTGGGCGACTGTAAAGTCTGGGCGACTGTAACGTTTGGGCAACTAACGTCTGGACGACTAACGTCTGGGCAACTGTAAAGTCTGGGCGACTGTAAAGTCGGGGCGACTAACGTCTGGACGACTAACGTCTGGACGACTAACGTCTGGGCGACTAACGTCTGGGCGACTGTAACGTCTGGGCGACTGTAACGTCTGGGCGACTGCAACGTCTGGACGACTGTAACGTCTGGACGACTAATGTTTGGGTGACTGTAACGTCAGGGCGACTGTAACGTCACTGTAACGTCAGGGCGACTGCAACGTCTGGACCACTGTAGAGTCTGGGCGACTGTAAAGTCTGGGCGACTGTAACGTTTGGGCAACTAACGTCTGGACGACTAACGTCTGGGCAACTGTAAAGTCTGGGCGACTGTAAAGTCGGGGCGACTAACGTCTGGACGACTAACGTCTGGACGACTAACGTCTGGACGACTAACGTCTGGGCAACTAACGTCTGGGCGACTGTAACGTCTGGGCGACTGTAACGTCTGGGCGACTGCAACGTCTGGACGACTGTAACGTCTGGACGACTAATGTTTGGGTGACTGTAACGTCAGGGCGACTGTAACGTCAGGGCGACTGTAACGTCACTGTAACGTCAGGGCGACTGCAACGTCTGGACCACTGTAGAGTCTGGGCGACTGTAAAGTCTGGGCGACTGTAAAGTCTGGGCGACTGTAAAGTCTGGGTGACTGTAAAGTCGGGGCGACTAACGTCTGGACGACTAACGTCTGGGCGACTGTAACGTCTGGGCGACTGCAACGTCTGGACAACTGTAACGTCTGGGCGACTGCAACGTCTGGACAACTGTAACGTCTGGACGACTAACGTCTGGGCGACTGTAACGTCTGGGCGACTGCAACGTCTGGACAACTGTAACGTCTGGGCGACTGTAACGTCTGGGCGACTAACGTCTGGACAACGTCTGGACAACTGTAACGTCTGGAAGACTAACGCCTGGGCGACTGTAACGTCTGGACGACTAACATCTGGGCGACTGTAACGTCTGGACGTCTGGGCGACTAACGTCTGGGCGACTGTAACGTCTGGACGACTAATGTCTGGGCGACTGTAACGTCAGGGCAACTGTAACGTCTGGGCGACTAACGTCTGGGCAACTGTAAAGTCTGGGCGACTGTAAAGTCGGGGCGACTAACGTCTGGACGACTAACGTCTGGACGACTAACGTCTGGGCGACTGTAACGTCTGGGCGACTGCAACGTCTGGACAACTGTAACGTCTGGAAGACTAACGCCTGGGCGACTAACGTCTAGACGACTAAAGTCTGAAT